AAAAAAATATATATATATATATATATATATATATATATATATATATATATATATATATAAATAATTTTCATAAATTTAACAAATTTAATAACAAAATTGAGATAAATAAAAACAACTTTAAATTATTATTAATTTTATACACCGATATTATAATAAATATGTTGAAATGATAATTTAAAATATATATTTACCAAATTCCAAACTTGATGATACCAACCTGAAGGTACAAATATAATTTGACCTTCTTCTTGAATTATTTCATAACTTTTTAACGATTTATCGTAATTACGAATAACATTAGATGTATTATCAAATTCTGTAGAATCAATATCGTAAATTAAATCGCCATTAACATTTTTAAGAAATGTTTCTTCACCCGGAGGAAATAATACCCATTTTTTTTTCCCAACAATATTAGCAGACCAGCTGTGCGATGTAAAAACATCGACATGAAAGGGGGTCCTTAAAAAATATTATCTCTGTCAATAAGATAAATAAGAATTATTCGCATCGCTCTAACTAATTATTTACCACGTTCCTTTAGGTCCCATATAGACAAACATATAATCGTCGTTCAAATGTGGATGAGCTACGTAATATTCATTTAACCAATCCGAAGCAAAATATTTAGGTACGTCATAGATTGAAATATTTGAATATGACTTAATGCAATGCCAGTCTTTTAAATACAGCAAGGGCATTGTTTTTGAATAATTACATTTACGAAAGTCAATCCAATAATCAATATAAGCTTTTATTAACATATCATCTTTATGCTGTGCATTGTAATATCGCTTATTGCAATCTGCTATAGGAACTATACAATCACCTTAAATCATTAACAAAACAGTCATTTTATAATCAATCTCGCAAACTTGAATTACAATAGATTAAATTTACCAAAACAATCTCTCAACCATTCAAAATTCGGTTTATTATTTGTCTTCCAATTTTTTCGGCTTGCCCAATCATTGGTTATACTCGAGTCGAAAATGCAAGGTCTATTCGTTATTAAAAACTTTTCAAAAAATTCGTTGTATGGTATTAAAGGATTAACTTTGATAATTGTATCAACGCTTGTTTCTTCATCAAATGTAGGCACATACTTATCATTATTTATCTCTATAATCGATGTCCTAAAATATTCAGGTTATTTATTTTACATTTGCCATGATAGAAGGCTTAGCTAATAAATTATTACTGAAACTTACATTTCACAATCAATATTTTAATCCTCCTGCGTACAATATTACAAAATAACATTAATATTACGATCAGATCCATAATCTGATCTCCAGGTACAAACTTTAGTGGTAACGACTAACGTTTCCTCTACCATTTTTCGACATTGAAAGAGTGACATAAGCCTGAACAGTAGCCTATATTGGATAAAAATGAAGAGGTTTAGAGTTCTCAAGTTATCTTTACACTGGCACTACTGATACTTTACATCATGCCTATTTAAATATTCAAGTTTTCATATCCACAATGCCATTATTTAAGAAATTTTTCTATGCAAAATAAGTTTACAATTAAGCGTATATGTACATAAGCGTGCATGCGCATGCACACACACACACACACACACACACACGACATTAATGACTTAATTTTAAACTACACGCACACTGGAGGGCGCGTGCGCATGTATTACATGACGTTGAAAGTACTTGCTCGGTATAATTTTATATAAAAGTTAACGAAACAAATGAATAATAACGTTTACTTGGGTTAATCGATATTATCAGTGTTACGTGTTATAGAGAGTCTACGAATATAATTTATTCTTTTATCTTATTAATTATCATTAATATCAACTACGGATATGTTAATCATTTCGATGAGTTAGTATTGCATTAGACTAGAAGGGATTAAAAATACCGTTGATTTAATTTAAAATATATTTTTTTATTGAACTTCCATGCTTATAAAAAATAATTCATAATAAGCCACTCCATTGGGCAGAAAAATGTTATAAATGTTAAATATTTAAAGCTCATTCGATAACAATATATCATTTTTTGTTGTAAATGATACTAAAGCTTAGATTTCTTTTGAGAATGTGCAACAATATTATTGTCGATAAAGTTTTTTATTTCATCGGGTGTAAAATTATGTTCCGTTAAAATTTCTATCGTATGCTCGCCCGGTATTATATTGGGAGTTTGGGTGGCACACGATACACCTGGTGTTCTAGAGAGACGAGGAGCTGGATTGGGAACTACTAAATTATCTTTGCCCAAAGTGAAACTCTTCTGCGACGAATTGTGCTTATGAGAGGCAACGTTGTCAAAGTTTAAAACCGGTGTTACGCAAGCATCGCTTCCATCAAATATTTTGCACCATTCATCTTGAGTTTTGGTTTTAAAAATTTCCTCAAATTTTGCACGAGATTTCTCAAAATTATCAAATTGTGAAAATTCATCCTCGGAAAGCTCGAGTTTATTTAAAAATGCAGCATAAAATTTTGGCTCTAAAGCACCTACTGCCATATACCGCTTGTCTTTTGTTTCGTACGTATCGTAGAAGGGTCTTCCAGTATCGAGTCTGAAAGAAAATCAATTATCGAGCATTTTTAGAAATGTTCGCTAAGATATTGTAATCCAATAATATAATTGCATCTAATTAAATGATCGAACAATCGGTTAATGGCAATCTAAGAGCAAAGAGATGGGAATTTTTTCATTTGAAATTAGTGTTTGATGCTAAAATCTGTATTAGGACTTTTAAAGTGACGCTTACAAATTTTTTCCTCTCCGTTGATCCCACAACATTGAAATGTTTTGTGACTTATAAAACCAACTTCCCAGATAAGCAGTTCCTTCTACCATCGATGCATCGATTATTTGACCTTTTTGGCTTGTATGTCTTTCATGGAGGGCCAACATAATTCCAAAAGCACATATTAATCCACCGCCGCCAAAATCTGCAGCAAAATTTAACGGCGGAGTTGGTTTCTCATCGCAACGACCAAATTTAGATAAAAGTCCTGAAAGGGTACGATATAATTATACAATTTTTAATTTTAAACCTTTTAAAATTAATGTGTCATACCCTACCCGATAAACTTAAATAATTAATGTCATGGCCAGCCATTTTAGCGTACGGACCAGTTTGGCCAAATCCAGTTAAGCGAGCATAAATTAATTTCCTATTTCTTGACATGAGGCTTTCGGGTCCTAATTTTAGCTTCTCCATTACACCTAAATACCACATTGACATTGTCATAAAGATAATTTGTCAATTTGTAAATGATAATGTATCGTCGTTAAAAATTACCTGATCTGTATGGATCTAATATAACATCAGATTCGTCGCACAGTCTTTCAAATATTTTTGCACCCTTTTCAGATTTCAAATTTAAGGCAATCGATCTCTTTCCATTACCAAGACAATCCAACGATGGTTCATCAAACTTCAAATAGATAAAGCATCAATTATTTCAATTCATTCGATTATCATAACTATAAGTCTATATATGTAATTGAATTTTTTACTTTGTCTATTCGAATCACAGTTGCTCCAAAGTCTGCTAGCAGCATGCCACAAAATGGAACAGGTGCAAGTCCTGCGAGCTCTATCACTTTTATTCCTCTTAATGACATTGCTAAATCCTAAGGCTGTGAAAATCCAATTAAAATGCATAAAAAATTGTATTAGTTTAAAAAGTCATATGATTTGTATGCGAATAGGATGCCATCAATTCCTTTTGCCTATTCCAGTGTACGCAAGCTTTATATTGTTATACGTAGAGCTTTATATTAAAAAAAAAAAAAAAAAAAAAAGAAAAAAAAAAAACAAGAGAGAGATATTTGCATTTTAAAGAGTTCTTTTTTTAAGGTACTAAAGGTATTAAATTGTAATGATGTAATGCCAAAGAATAATCATTTAATCATTCACTTATACATCAATTACTTTATAAAACTTTAAACGACACATCTTCACTTCTGAAAAATAGTTAGATTTTTTCTCATCATAATGCAGAATTTTCACCCTTCATACTATCGTTGAGAATTATTTAACATTGTTGATGAATATATCGAGCTTTTCTCCTTTCCTATGATATTGAGGGTTTGCAAATAATTTATGACCACCTTAACTGACTATATTCCTACATCAAAGTGCTAATTTAATCATTAAGCATTAATACATTAATACAAATATATAATTGTTTGAATGAAAATTAAATTTTCCTATTAGCACATTTGTTATGCAAATTAAATTGTCTTTTAATATAAGACAAATTATGCGTTTATTACATAAGCAAATCTGTTTACATAAAATTCGCAAAAATTAACATTACGAGGAAATTTTTTAAAACGATATTTTGTTATTATTATATTACACTTTATCATTCATATATTAACAAAATCTCTTTAAAAACAACAACAACAACAACAACAACAACAACAACAACAACAACAACAACAACAATTTTAAACCTAAATTTCATTTCAGACTCTGAATTTGCGAGGAAACGAATAAATACGTTGTACGATATATTTTCATTAGTTTTAAAACTTTAAGATTAATTATTAAAATTCAAATTCACATGTTTACATGCTCATTCAAATTTGAGTCAATGGTAAACAAAAGGGGAGAGATAAAAAAATTTTATTGTCTCGTCGCTGGAAAGAAACTTTCCTCTACATTACGCAATAGCTTAGTCTCAAATTTTCAATCGCACCTACCACTTCTCTACTCTACGATCGATAATTTCATCGATCATTCTATGGGAAAGAATTTTGCTCGTGAAATTACGCAACGATTTAAATCCATGACTTTCCCCAAACAATCTACCATGAGCTAAATGTTTATTTTTATCTTTAATTTAGCAACAATTACAAAAATTGACACTCGTGCACTAAAGCGGCTTTGTCAATAATACGTGCTCGATCACTTTACCTCTCGACTATACAATTTAAAAGTATAATTACAGGCACGATTATTCCAAGTTGGAAAAACGTATATAAATTCATAATACGAAACCCCTCGGCAAGCCAATACAGTGCTCGAGAACGTCAATGATGATGCAAATAATAAACGAACCCCTGATATAATTGTACATTTATCTCGTCTTCGCGTTTCCGAGATAACAAACAAATACCGTTGACCCGATCGTACAAAAAACAATTAGAATTTCTCTTTTAAACAATTGTAAGGCATAACAACACGCGCGCCAAGTATCGTTTGCTGCCACATTTCCCCATTACCGAGATCTTTACTCTTAATTCAAGTCGATCTAACGATTATCCATGGAAAATCGGTGATTGTTGTTGTTGCTGCACTAAACAGTAATAATAGTTGATGGTTAGGAGGCATTATTTAATGTTAAAGACAATTAAATGCGATCGTCGGCATGCAAATGGACAAACGACTGTCGAAACATTAACAAAACATTGACGTTAGTGTTATAAATAAGGATAAACTCGAGCAATTATTCGGCAATGAGGAGTTTATGGGAACAAACATAATTATCCCCGTTTAAACCGTCTTTTCTTCCCTTTCATACGATACCTAAATAAATGTCTGTCTTAGCTTGCGAAAGAAATTGAGGTCTATACATATGTTTATTATATATGTCTATACATATATATGCGTGTGTGTGTGTGTGTGTGTGTGTGTGTGCGCGCATGCATGCATATATATA